TTCGTCCTTATACTCAAACGTCATCAACATTTTTCGAGCTGAAATTAGAAATTGATTTTCCGGATCTTTGTTCATCACCGATTGCCGGTTTATCCCTCTTAAATACCACAAATCATTGTTTTATGGCAGCGTAAGAAAGACATTGATCCTTTATCGTCTCCGACGATTCTTCACAAAGTTCTTAACGGATAGCTCCTTCAAGAAAAACCAGTATTTAATCACCCTTCGATTGTTAGTTTTATCAAAAATGTGAAACGACCTCATTTGAAAATTGTTCGCAAAGTTTTTTTGAAAGTTTTTTTTTTGTAATAAAGACAACAAAACTTTCTAAAAGGCAATTCAAAAAATAGTATATTATTAGCCAAGGTTGCAGAGCCAAGCATTCTAGACCGAGCGCAAATTAGAACCCGAGACGCGCAGCGTCGAGGGCTCTGAAGCGCGAGGTCTAGAAGTGGCTTTGCAACCGTGGTTAATATACTATTTTTTTCACTAATAGAACCCATAAGACAATAAACTGAAAAAATAAACGTTCAATTTTTTGACGCAACATGATTTTGTTTTGATTTCTAATCAAACTTAATCTTAAATCTTCAACACAAAGAAAACCGTTTATACTTGTCGCTGAGTTAATCATTTTATCTTCTACCGTCGACCAACTACCGTGCGTATACTCAAGTAATGTTTGTAGCACACATTTGTTCATTTTTTAAGAAATAATCACATCAAACATTGCGTACATAACCTCAATTTTTCTTTTTGAACCGGTGGTCGCAAAAGTTGTATTTGCTACCTCTAAATGAGTCGACATTTGCATGGGTCATGGCTGCTAGTGAAAAAAATTATTTATGCATTACTCTCGCTGATAGTCGTATGGCACTTTCATGCACCACTCAGACACTCGCCCACGAGTTGTATTTGCGTTACTTATGCCATCAGTGAATTTTGGGACTTGAAAGATAAATAACCATTAATTTTTATGTGCTAATGGTAACAGTATGCATTTTCAACACTGATAATATTATCAGTCCATCAGTACAATTTAACATAAAAATATGTTACTAATAAAAACTACTGTTTACTTTGATTTTGTTACATCTGGGGAACAATGTAATTTTATGATGTTTACACAACGTTTTTTGTTATAATTCGGTTAAGTTAGCAAGAAAATTTCATATCTCAGGGCGATCGATATTTTATATTCGAGTTGTTGTTTAAACTTTCGCGTCTTAAATACAATTCAAATCTCGATTCTTTGAAAAATAAAAAAAAATGATTTTATTTGTGATAAGTAAATAGATAAGTAATACCGGCAACAGTGTAAGAAACTCAAACTCTTATGACATTATCTATTTTTTAGAATTCTTGTAGAGCTTGTTTTTCTAAATTCATTAACGTATCATACTTTAATCACCCATACCTAATTCCGCCGCTGCCTATGATTCGAACGCATTATGTTAATGGAAATTAATTCTTATAATTACTCGTGACTTGCTTCATTTCAAACATCATAATATTTGGCTTTTCCAAAACTGTTTGCAATTTACCCGTAAAGGAAAAATTAATAAACAACTTTTTTTCTTATAAAAAAAAACATGTGAACAAGCATGTGGTTTAGGAATTTTTTCCACATGATAAAAAGTCCGTTAAATACATTTATTATATGTACGCAAAATTAAAAAAAATACATTTGATTTTTTTTAAATGTCATGTATTTAATAACATTATTATATAATATTATCATGTACAATAGAAGCTGCACATTATTTTACTGCGCTATTTTCGCGCTAACGGAAATAGTAAGTATATGATTCCATTAGATAATAATATTATCTAGTTACATATTATGTACACTACATTCAGACATCTATTCATCTTGTTAACTGATATAAAGATCTCCTTGCTATTATTATATGGCTGCCTATAATGAGAACTTCAACATTCCGTTGATCCCTCTTCATTACTCCGGTTTCTATCATATCAGTTTAATACAGTTTCCAATCTTCCGATATACTAAGCACTAGTGTTTCATTAAAACTTCCAAGAATTTATTTTGAAAGTAACAATATTGCCTTCATATACAAAAGGGATCGAATGTCCCCTTGTCAGAAAATTAATTAGAAATTGAATAAGTTTTGCTTTGCATCAAGCTCAATTGTTGCTTATTTTGATCCTTCACATTTTAACTGTTCTTAAAAATATGTGACAGTAAATTTATTAATTCATTTTTTAGTTTCATTAATTTTTTTCTAAAATAGGATTTACTTTGCAAAGACCACAAGACCATCAGACGGAAACCGAAGACCTACTTTTTCATATTCTAGAACCTGTGACAGTTTATCATGTTCTTGAATAACTTTTTTTTTTGGTATTTTTCGTAAAGTTCTTTTAGCAATAGTGGCAATAATGTTTAAACAGGTTTGATCCCTCAGGTAAGATGGATAAAGTGTATAATAAACTACTCCATAAAATTTACACACGACCATTACAAAACCATAAATATTTACCACGCTATAAACAAAATAACATTAATCTACGCACAAAAAAACACGAAATGATACATAAAATGCAGTGCAAAGCTTCAATGACGCAAAGCCGTAACAAAATTGGAAATGACTGTAATGAAATAAACTGATAACTAGGGAGAGGCGGCTTTCGATATGACAGGACTAACGTGACGTATCATGCATAAACCATCCCCACAACTATAATTTCATTAACTACTCACACCTCTGCTATGCTATGGCTAAAGCTGAAATGGTAAAACGTAGGACGGTGCTTTAATTTTGTAGAACTGCATATTATTTTGTGTTTAAAATATTTGTACACTGACTTTACCTGACTTATTTTCACGTCAAAATGATGAGCAAAAAGCTACGTTTTTAAAGTTGACTCAGATAATCTGTAAATTGTTTACAGATTAATCCACGAAAATATAGGTTTACCACATCAGGCAGTCATTGACACAAAAATTGTTACAAGCATTTTAGCCAAATTGTAGCACTGTCTCCAGCATTAAATGTTTTCGTCTGGATGTTTCATAGACACTGTTTTTTTTTTTCAGCAGATTTTTGTTGACGGTTGGCGATCATTTGTAAATAATACTGACGCAGATGTTTTTATTTCTTAATATTGTTCTTTTATACATTGTATACTGGCTCCAGAGACCGAATTATTTAAAGCTGTTCGACTCTTCCGCCAAACACAAAAAACACAAACTGAATAAATAATTCTGAAAGATATTACTGAAGCACGAAGAATACTTGATCTTAGGCCGTGTTTTCACTAAATATTTATTTGTTAAATTTTGGAGATGAATTAACTTCCTGAAGGGAATGAATAAATAAATTTTAACGATGAATATTGTGTAATCAAATCAGTGCTTGCCAAATTTTGGAGAAGTCGTTGGCACAAACTACAAAACTAAACATGAAAGTAGAGTATGTGACGCTACATACTGATATGAAATGGTTTGAAATGACGTCACCATTTTTGTGGAAGGGTTATTTAATTAATCTATTATTATTATTTAAAATTGTTACACTTGCGTTATGTTGTTGTAAACTGGATGCAAAAATCTCTAAGATAACCCGTAATAAATCTACATGTAGAATCATTTTTCCTTGTATTTGTTTGTTTGGCACAATCTATTATCTTATTTTTATTTCATTGTCAATACCCTGCATTTAACACCCTCCTATGTACTCAAATATTCTGTCTAGGTAAACTACTAACGGTGGTTTTGCTTTGTTTACCGCCACCTTAGGGGATGGTCGGATCTCTGGTCAATGAACTGCGATACATTCACTCACCCCATTTTGCATTTAAACACCTTGACAGCCAGTGATACATGTTTCGCCGCTTTTGTTCAAAATCACAATTACTATTTAGTACAAAATAATATCAATTACTATAACAGTTATAGCTAGTTTACAAAAAGCTGAATACCTTAAATTTCTCAACTTAACATATTAACTAATATTTTACTTCATCCTCCTGCAGCTAGCGCAAGCTATAATATTAAAGATTTAAGTCACTCCACGAGTCTATTAGAATTTCAAAATTTGTATACAACTAATTATGTCATTTTATGAATTAATGAAGTGTCAGCTCAAATGAAAATAAACGCGTTCTATGAAAACTGAGCTGCATCAGCAGCAAGTGACAACCACTTAGATGCAATACTGCTTCATTTATTTTGTCTGGGTTATTTTCGTAGTTCTCTAATAAGTAGGTTATTATTTGTTTACTTGTAGTTAATTATTTTTATTATTATTACAAACGTTTATAATAAATAAAAATAATAAACATAATGCACCTATAAACTTGTAAATTTATAAAATATAAATCACATTCTTTTCAGCTATTCAAAGTTTTTTAAAATTTTAGTTTTTATTATACGTATCATATAATATATTAGAGAGAGGGCGCCACATATTTTATCATGGGCTGCAATTATTATTATGCTACAATTTTCTGTAGTCCAATAAGTTGAGAAAGAAAACTGTAGCCATAAATTTATAACTATTAAAGTTGCCTAGAAAAGATTAACTAATATCAGATAAAATAAGAACAACAGCAGAAACCGTATGTTTTAACTGTCGACTAAAGCACAAAAGAGAGACACTAAAGACGAAAGAAGAAAAAACTGAAATTGTAGTCTGAATTCATTAGAGTTTTAGGCAACAGATGGCGCTGCAGCATTTCTTTTACAACTTAAATCAATTAAAATAATTTACCACATTTTGTATGTTATCTATGGGTATTTATTGTAAAGAGTTCTGAATATTTTTTAAGGCTATTAAGTGAACTGACTTTCTTCGATCGCGCGCCATCTGTCAGGAATGTGATGACAAACAGAAATCTCTTTTACCTTGAGTCAATGACAGTTCCGTTGACAATTGACATTGTGCCATTGTACATTTGTGGTGTTTGAAAATCCGTAAGTTTGTGTAAAAGTTATTGCAGTATTTACGGATTATTGTGTTAAATTATATTGAAATAAATTATCTAAGACATCGATAAAAATGTCTGAAAAACCAAAATTAGATCTTGGCGTTCTTGAAGAGGATGATGAATTTGAAGAATTTCCCGTCGAAGGTAATTTGAGGTTAGGTCGATGAATTGCAACAAAATTTAATACCTTGTTTCAGACTGGACGGCAAAGGATAAAGATGAACAGGACATAAGTGTATGGGAAGACAACTGGGAAGATGATAATGTGGAAGACGACTTTAATAAACAATTAAGGTGAGTTTGGACAAACACTATTGAAAGGAAGAGTTGATAATGATTACTATTTACAGGGCCCAGCTCGAAAAACAGAAGGCGAAACCCGCACCAAAATAAAATTTACGTTTTGTGTTAGTAATTAGGAAATTAATGTAAGGAGAACAATAAACATTTTTTCATACATTCATTTTTATTGAAAAAATATCCTGAAGGTTAGAAAAAATCAGTATCATATCTTTCAGACTCAGTTCTGGAACCTACGGCGCAGGAAAGTAGTGCCTGAATACTTCGTTCTTCGCCGCTTCCATAAATATATCCATTAGCCTACAACAATTAAATGAACAAATTACAAATTTATTTGCTAAATAAATCTCACTTTGTCAATAGCGCTCTTCAAATTAAGTAAACTTTTTTCTGAATTCACATTCAACAAAACAAAGGAAACCAAACTGTAATCTTGAACTAATTCAACCAAAGAAGCATTGAGTTTCTTGTATTTATTAGTGAAAGGACCATCATCCAGCAGCTCTAGTAAGTAATCCAAATTTAAAACGTCGGTATAAAAGTCAATATTGAAGTCCAGCTTATCAGCGTTTTTCTTAAGTAGGTCAGCCTAAAAAATACATATTAATAATTGCAAAAACTGTCGCTAAATTTATGATTTACTTTGGTTAAAACGTTCACGTGAGGTAGCGCGATTTGCATCATTGTAGAAAGGCTTAAAAGTAAAGTAGAAATAAACTTGGCAGGATCTGAACAATAATGTGAATCCACCATGTGAACAGCGCACAAATGATACCCCAATTTTTCCAACTTCTCAAATATTTTTTTGATAGAACCGTGATGTGTGTAGAGTTCAACTTGACCAGGCATATCAAATATTAAGTAACTATTTTTGATCTGTACTAGTTTATTTAAAAGCCAGTCGAAGTTTTCCTCCAAGTACTCCATGCAGTACATCAATGCTCCATTGGGTCCTAATTTTAAAGTATCCATCACGTCTTCAACAGTAACCAACTTCATTATATCTATTGCAGGTTTATAATTCATATTTTCATTAGCCGGATCTAAATTAACCACTTCAACTTTCCTGTTTAACTTATCTTTGTAGAAATCATAGACTTTTCCACAATAAGTGGTCTTGCCTGACCCCGGTGGTCCAATAACCACTTGGCCAAAATAATTTTCAGCAACCTTAGTTCTTTTTGGGGCCAACATCTTTATCGCATGAGTAGTTTTTAATAGCTCTAGCAATACCAATTACTGTGTCCCGTTCGTAGCTCTTCAGACTTAAAAACACCAACAACTGCTTCTTGATGTTCAGCTCCTTTGTGAGAAATCGAGCTGCCGCCTCTCCGTAGATATTGTCTTTACCAAATAGTTGATGCACTGAATAGATTGGTTCCACTAAACAAATTCCGTTTTCTGTGTGATCTACTGCCACGCAGTATAAATCCGCTAGTTTTCCGAACTGGGTGGCAATAATCAAATTTTGGTTGGTGAAAGTTCCGATGACAAATTCTGTGTGGACTTCGTTGATGGTTGCTGCAAAGTTGAAAATGTTTGAGGTATTGTCGCTTAAAGACAATGAATTGATTAATGATGAGACGTCCATAGCGTCAGCACATAGTGACTTCGTAACTTCGTGTACTTTTCAGTGGTTTTGTGCTTACTATTTCGAAAAAGTGAGGTTAGATAATGAAATGAAAGGTTGCCATTTTATATAGCATCATTTCGGGGTGCATATGCAACGCACCATACACTGAAGCTGTGTCGTGGCGGTTATTTTATAAAGAAAATTATTTGTAGATATGTTTTGTATGTCTTGTTTATATTGTAACTACCATAAAAATATCGCAGAGGTAATTTAGTCCAGTGGCACTAATGTTTAAAGCTAATATCCGCAAAATCAAATATTTGTTTTAAATATTCAGCTCAACTTCACTGTTTTAGCGAGAAGGGGAGAGCCAAACTCTGAACATGAATATCCATACCCAATATCAACCTATTTTTCTAAAGAAATAAAAATGTTTAAACAAATTTACATTTATTATTTTTGTATACCTACATAGAGTTTGTCCATGTGATATACTATTAGCTTAAAGCTAAACACTTAACAGGTGAAGAAACTTAAAAACTCTCGACATAAAAAAAGAACCTTTAAAAAATCTGAAATCCCCACCTTGGAACTTATTTATACACCATCTTATCAGTTGATGATCTTAACATGGCTGAAGTATCTGATTAACATCAAACTAGCGAAGAATCCGGATTAAACCAACTTTCAAACAACTAAAGCCGCATTGAAATTGGTTCATCCATTTGGCAACACGGTGCCACAAACAGATACGCAGACAGACAAAGGTCCAAACTTACTATCAAATAACACAACTATTAAAAAAAAATATTTTTGTTAATAATTAATTGTAAGATGTTTATTATCATCGTCACTAGTAAAGTTTTATTACAAACGTTCAAAACATGCAAAAACAAGCAATAAATCTCTCAACAAAGAATGTTACAAAAAATACAAAAAAGAAAAAAAGATTGATGGCTTCATTATCAACCATGAAATCACGCCTGGAAACACTGACAATAATAATATGATATAAAAAGTAAGAACAAGAGATATATTAACATAAGGTAAGCACCTACTTTATGTTAATATATCTCTTGTTTTTAAATGTCTATCAAACAATAAATACTTTAATTAAATAGAATCAAACGAAAGAAACTGAACAGCTTAAGATTTTTAAATATGATAAAGTAGGTACTACAGGGTAGAAAATAAAAAAAAAACAGTGGGCTCATTTAAATAATCGAGCACTATTATTTTATTTACATAAAATAAAATATTTTAAGTTAATTTTGGACAGTAACAGAAAAACCACTAAAACTGAAGATGTCACACTCTAACAAAACTACATTCTTCAGTTTCCATTTGGATTTATACCAGGTCACTATTAATAACTGAAACAAATTTTTGTATTGGCAATTCTGAATGATTGGCATGCATGCCAGAATGTGTGTTCCCAGTTGTCAATTTTGACATGAACACGCCAAACAAACGTGTTGATTGGTTCAGACGGTAGCAGATATTTACTTGATGTCAAGTTTTATAGTACTGGAAACTGTAGTTGGCAGACCTATTTATGGATAAACACCTGCACAGGAGCGTGCGGAAGATGAGTCAAGCGAAACGGTACACTGAAAATCGGACCAGACCTTTTGAAGAATTATTTTATTAATGTTTTGTATACAAGTATCAATTTACTTATGCAACTAATGCTGTTTTGGTAATTTTTGGAATTTTCTGAAAATAGTGGAAAGTAAAAAGAAACTCTTGTAGTACTTACAAGTATGTTTATTAACAGGCAAAAGTTTCATCATCAGTATCACTGTCCTCATCATTTACATGAATAATTATTTCTGGGAAAGGCTTGTTGACTAAGAAACTGTCTTCAACATCAATAACACGCCTGATGCAGTTACTGCAAAGTATGGAGTCAATTTTCTAGTTTTTTTTGCGAATTGTTTCCACAACCGACGAACTTAATGAAGGTGTAATGTTGGACTTACGTAACCAGTGTTTCAGTTAACTCCAAACTAGTTCAATAGGATTTAGCACGCAATGATACGGAGGAAATAACACTGAGCAAGACCAGATATCAAACGAAACAACATTAAGGGTCAAGTGACATTCACTGTGCCTTTTATATGTAGGTATACCCAGATAAATAATAATACAATGGTATTCCGAAATTGCTTCGACCTTTTCTGCCTAGGCTGTGAGCCCTACTTTTACAACCGCTTCGCTTGACTCATCTCCATCTCGCTCCTGTGCAGGTGTTTATCCATAAGTAGTAGGGTAATAAACAATATTTGACAGAAATTGAATATGAATGCAATGATAAATCACAAGTAAAAACTCATCATGTCATTTGCTAAAACAAGACTTATGTCAGCAAGTACTAGCTCCGCCCACCCGCCCTTTATTTACTCAGAGAGCAGTACTTGCTAGTATTTATTAAGATAAGTCTTATTTTGGCAAATGATATATCCTCTGAGAAAATAGGGGCGGGTGGACGAAGTTAGTGCTTGCTCAGATAAGACTGATTTTGGCAAACGCCATACCCTCTGAGAAAATAGCGGGCGGGTGGGAGGGGCTAGTACTTGATAAGATAAGACTGATTTTGGATAGGATTAGTTCGGCAAAATTTTGAGATGTCATCAATTTTTTGGGAGAGGGTAACGAGTAAATTTTGCTTAACGATTTACCATGACTACGATAACCTTAAAAGATTTATAAGATTTCCGAGCAATCGGTTTTGCAGTTTCAAAGTTATTTTGAAAAATATTCTTATAAAGTTTTAAATTTTTTCTAAAAATTCTGGATGTCTAGGGTGAAAATTCGACACGGATTCACACACAACAAGTACAAGAGTATCTTATTTTATGCAATTAAAAAAGCTTTTAATTATAAATTTTGGAGATGACGTTATCAAATTGTTTCTGGGGATAATTAGCCAAATTTTGGTTAGTATTTAACCATCTACATGATATTTCTAACATTTGAGTACAATCGTCCAGTAGTTTCGGCCATTATGTGTCTAATAAAAATGGATACAGACAGACAGACAGGCAGACGGAAACGGGAGACCACTTTTTTCGTAATCTAGAGGTTATGACACGTCGGGAAAATATGAAATTGTAATACGGCCGATGGACTCGATTACTATACTTCCTTAGCTTACGCTCGGGAAGTAAATATCATTAATTTAACTAGTGATTGTTATTTTATTAAAAACCATTCACTCTTGACACAGGATGTTCAAATTAGCTAAAAAAATGAGACACGTAATTACAGAATTAAATTTAATTTAAGAACGTAACCGAAAAAGTTCAAATCATAGTAAAAATAAAAAATAAATGCTCTTAGGTATTTTATTTTTCATTTTAAACTGCGAAATTTCGGATGTGTGAAGATCAAATTTTAGAAACATTTTTATATGCAATTGACCTTTCCCATTTAAACGAATTATATCGTAAACAATAAACATATACATATATTTTGAACTTTGAGTTGCGACCTTGAACTTATATTTTGTTATCAAATATTATATTTATCATCCTTAAGTTTTTTTAGCGACAAAAATTTTAAATTGTTTTCAAGAATTTTTAAAACATTACTTAATACATTAATTTTTATTTTTCTTTATACTTTAAAATTGTGCTGCTCTTTTTTTGCAAGTTAACACATCAGCTACATACAGATTTGTCACCACGTACTTTAAACTGTTCATTAAAGCAAATTCACGATTTCATTTTATTTTCTTTAGTATTTATAAGTAATCTGGTATAAATTAAACAAGCAGATTAGTTAAATGTATCACCATTAATATGAGTCGAAAGAATTGTATTTAATAAGAAAAAAAAAAACGAAAACAAATGTTTGAAAAAAAATAAAAAATAACATTCTAATACAGTTTTGCAAAAACTGGATTTTCAAATTATATGTATAAAATTAATAATGGCGTACCACTGGACATAACTTTAGGATAAGGAAGTATGAAAAATTGTTAAAATAACTTTTATTAGTATTAAAAATTCAGGACGGGTTCATAAACCACAAATATGAATATAGGAATATGCTAATTTATAAAATTTAAAAGGAATTTACTATAAAACATTGAACTGACGTCATCAAATTGTTGGTGGGGATGACTAGACAATTTTTGGTTAACGTTTTGCGAAACGGGAGACCTACTTTTTCGTATTCTAGGGGTCGTGAAACATTGAGAATACTTGCAAATAGCCATTCGTTCGATGGACCCTATTACAATACTACTTTTTTATTTACACTCGGGAAGTAAAATTTGGGTAATGTTTCAGTCCATGAATACGGTTCTCGTTGGCACATCTGCGATTTAATCATTGTAATTTATGTTATGCTTTAACCTAACAGAAGTGTCATCGTCCCATAAAATTTTATTTTCATTTTAAATTGGATAATAATGTTTTCATCGTAATTTTTCTTTAAAATAACAGATGTGTCAACTTCCCATTAAGTTTTATTTTTGTTTTAAATTAAATAATAATCAATTTAATGAAATGCATAGCGAAACGTGAAAATATTAGACGTTCGAAATTTATGTTAAACCATCACAGTGATCATTAATAAAGTTGATTCCATGATTTTTTCCCTTCAATTGTTATTAGGTACATATTATCAATTCATCCTCATTCATTATTATCATTGGAGACACAAACTTCGAGTTGTTCGTCTTCTACATCATTATCTGAATCCTCTAATAAATAAAGTTCTTTGTAGCCTATTTCTTCTCAGTCCCTTTTACCTGTCTTTTTAGTCTCCTTGGTTTTTTATCGTCTGTAACTGTACCAAGTTGGAATCAAAAATGATCTCCTTTTAAAACCAGATGTTGCATTCAAATTAATACTAATCTTCTGACTTTCTTAACACGGTTCCTTGTACCAAAATTAAAACATTACGAAATCAAATTTCGCGTAAACGTTTTGCTTTTGTTATTTTGTTACCTGTCATTTCCGATTGTTGATTGACATTATAAGTAATTTCAGTCGTTATTTACAATAACAGTGATTTATGTTACAGCCGCCGAAAAGGAGGCATAACATCACGAACATGAACACGGCGCCAGACCGAAGGTCAAGCCATGTATGTTCCGAGTTATGCAATGTGCGTTTCGGCAAGATAACAGACAATGCTTTTTGTGGTACCTTTTAAATAATTCATTTGAACAACCATAAAGAATAATTTTACAATAATAAATTTACGCAACGCTATAATGTGGTATACCAACCAAATTCATCCCCTCCAAAAACCGATGACGTCAACCCAAAATTCCAGTAGCGTAAAAATGCATCCCTAGTTTGGTATAATGTTGTACGGTTCAACCAAACATGCATATGGAATTTTGTCAACACAATAACAGGGGGAAACTAATTACATATAATTATATACCAACTTCCTCCTATTAATTCCCCACAAAATCGGTCCTCTTTATGCTTAACTAATTTTAATTTTCCGTTGTCACCGCTGCGGTTTTCCTCAATCTAAAACACCCATCTTATCATGTGTACAATTAATTTCCACGACTAGATTTATAACTCCAAGATAACGAACACTACAAACTCGTGCTTGTCATAATACTCACACAAAGACGTCGCCGTTTCAAAGCGACATTTGCGCGCCATACTTCTGATGACGTAGTCACTGAACCAGGTTCGCTACATTCCAACGTACCCCGTCACGAAAAAACGACTCAGGTCGTACCATGGTCGTACGAAGGTACGTCGAATCAGGTAGAAATTACATCGTAAACCAACAAGTACAGTTCCATAAAGTGCTCGCTCCGTGAATTACGTGATGGTCGTGCTGTTGTTACAAGACTAACTAGCAATAAACGATAAAAAGTAAGTACTTCTAGAACTGTCTCATTAGTGCAATCAATAAAACGGAAACTTCTGCGGCATTGCTTAATTAGAAACTCGCTCAGTGTGATAAAAGTTGGATGCGTAACGAAAAGGTGCATCAAGGTTAGCTTGAGTCACTATTTAGTAGGGTTTAAGGACAGTGGCGTCGGGGTGGGTAGGGTGTTATTAAATGTTGTAGTACGAATTCCAAAAAACATACACTGTGTGAGCAAAAATTTCAAAAGTGTGCTAAATTTGTTTAACTGTCAATGAAACGTCAAAACAAAGCAGGAAGTCGTAAATACTCTTTAAACATATTTTATTTCTAAGTGTAACGACTTATTATATGTTTAGGATAATTATTAAAAATGATGGCTTTGTGGTAAACAATGATGAACTATGTTTTCATGTTTGGTTTCACAGCAATTATCACCCTATTTTGCGCTATACGATTTCACGTTCAAAGTCCACGAACGACTCTGTTACATTTTTTCTTGTGTAATCGAACAGAGGCATTGTTGAAGTACAAAATGTTTTCATTCCTTCCTCAACTCTTGTTACATTCCATTTTGAAGTTATTAGTTTCGAATTTTGTACACTAAGCGCTAGTTTTTAGACAGCAATCAATTAAAAATTAATGCCCTATTAAATGTTAAGTGGCGTTCGGATTTAACTTAACAACGCACCGGGACCCTGCTTATAAAAGCCTTGTTAACTTAATCTTGCGATTAACTGAACATGTGATTAAATTCTACAAATCCACCTCTCGAGATCAGGACATAACGCGCCATTATATAGGTGTAATTAGGCATTCATTTTTAATGTTCTTTGTATACAGCAGCCCATAACGTTATAAATTACTCTAATACAAACAGTATTATAATTTTTATCAATGAGGGTTACATGTAGTACTTGCACTTTGTCTTTGTAAAGAACACAAAACCGGTAATTGATTTTTGATAAAATGACTACATAATTAGTATCTACATAATAATGTTATGAAAAATGTGCTGATCATGGTGTTCCAACGCAACATAATAATTAAATCATTCCTTTAAAAGAACTGCATAGCAGATAAAGGATCTACATACAAAGAAAAAGTTTATTAAGGTACATCAAAAAATATCATAGCGCTTCCTGGTTGACCAGAAAAGGAAACGACTTCATCTCTTTAGTACTTCGATGTTGAACATTGCGTTGCTTTTTTTTCCAAAAAAAAAATAAAAACTTTCCTCGTTTCTGAAGTGCAAACAGTGCCGATAGATACGGGTTGTGTTTTAGAAACGCACAGAAATTTTCTCAGAACGTTATTTTTGTATCCACTAAAATTTTACGACGTGATTATAGGCGACTTAACAGTACAATAGCAGGGCTAGTCATTATTATAAAATGAGCTTTGCCTGTTAGCTTTAGGGATTGTAGTTAAAAATATTTATTTTGGATCTGAACCCTTCTTTTTCTACCTGGCCATCCTAAATCCTCCTTTTGTGTTCGCTTTCATTCTAATACTTCGGTACTTTTACCAGTTTCCATCACTCTTCAACCGAATTGTCTTTTCGCCTCAAATTTCTGAAATTTTCTCTTCTCGGCAAGCTCTCAAACCGAAAACATCAACTAAAATCTAACCACGAAAAAGTAAGTCCCACACATACCTGCTACTCTTACAATTATTTTTTTGTAGTGAAATACGAGTTTTAAATGTTTGATAGCAAACTGAGTTATACAATTTCAGTGGACACAAAAAGTATAGTATTTTTAGCAACTAATCTTGCACTAAATATTAATTTGATAATTTTTCGTTGTCAACTTTCTAGGAAAGATTAAGCAATACTAATGTTCTGAGTGTTTGTTACTGGATTATAAGGGTTGTCATTACCTACAGAAATTACATCTAGTACTAGGGGGTAAAAAGATAAGCAGATCTAGTAAGTATTTCATATAAATTTGTAAAAAAATAAAATAATTTCTCAACAAACTCCGACAGGCAACAACTGTTTATGGTATTAATTCTTTAAATTATATAGAAATTTTTCTGACCGCTGCGCGCAATTGTCCCTTGCTCTCAAGTAATTTATTCAATTAAGATTAATATCGTGCCCACATTTCAGAAAAGTGTGTTCTGTTGTTTTGAGATCAGTTGCAAAATATTGTACGAATATTAGTTTCTATTATAAGAGTGGGAGTAGACTTACATTACAAGCACAACAAGACAATCAAATTCTGAGATAATGTTAACAAATTTTTGAGGGACTACTTAATGATTAGTGGATACACGTAAAATTTCAAGTTGTAGTGTCGGAGATTATCTATTGAAGATATTTATTGCATATAGACGAGTAAACGGAAATTGGAAACCTGCATTTTCCTATTCTACGAGCTATAAAACTTAAAAAAAAACATATTAGCCTAATTTACTTTCCTCGACTATTATTCGGTAAGTAAAAAAGTGGTTGAAGGTAACTTAGAACTTCTCTCGTCGCTGAAATACATTTGATTGTTTTTATGGTAACCCGTATAAGTTAAAAAATAAATGATACTAGTTACAGTGTAAGAAAAAAAAGTGTAAGACGAAGATGGGATTCAAAACTACGCGGGTAGAGCTCAAGTTCAAGGCCTAAATTTGTGTACCACTCATGTGGCAAATATTGGACAAACTTTTTTGTAAATTAATTATAATAAAAAATTAAGGCGGATTCATAAACCACAAGTATAGCAGTATGTTATTTTTATAAAATTTAAACAATATGATGATATTGATGGTTATCATCAGACAAATTTTAGTTGGCTTTTCACTATATACACGATATTAATTAGCAATATATGGGTCTTCAATTGAAAAACGCATCAAGTTGGCCTTGATATTGTGTAAACATTGTTAAATATGTATGAAACGTTAACCATATTTTATCTGTTTATTCCCAGCAACAACATGATAACGTCACCTCAGAATTGTACGTAGTAAATGGGTTTTAAATTTTAAAAATAACGTACTCCTATACATGTGGTTTATGAATCTGTGTTGAGTTTTTACCCGAGACACCCAGATTTTTGTAAAAAAGATCAAAATTGTATAACAACATTTTGTAATTCAATTTTGAAACTGCTCTCAAATCTTGCAAACGTTTTAAAGTTACCGTAAGCATGATAATTTTTTAATGAAAATATATCTGTTTATAAGAAAAAAATTATGCCGAATTAACATGCAAAATACACTGACCGGCAAAAAAAACGGCCACCCTGAAAAATTTCGCAAAACTACTTTAAAAATTAATTATTAATTTAGCTAGTGATTGTTATTTTATTAAATAACCATTCACTATTGACACATTATGTATAAATTAGCAAAAAAAAGAAGACAAATAAAGGCTAAATTAAATTTAATTTCACAAAATAACAGAAACAGACCAAGTACGATATTTTCTTAAATAAAAGAATAAAGGAGGCTGTTGTTATAAACAGTGTTTTTCATCATTTGATTATAAGTTTGGCAATTAATAAACGTTTTTCCGCGAAAACAATGCCATTAATTCTAACAGACGTCTCTCAAATTGTTCTGTTTCTGTTATTTTGTTAAATTAAATTTAATTCTGCGTTTATTTGTCTTCTTTTTTTGCTAATTTATACATCATGTGTCAATAGTGAATGGTTCTTTAATAAAATAATAATTTTGAAAGTTTGGTTTTGCGAAATTTTTCAGGGTGGCCTGTTTTTTTGCCGGTCAGTATATAGTGAATAGCATTTCTATTTTTTAGAATACTTAACAAAATCTTCAACCAATTTTTTTAGTATAATTACAGCTTTTCTGTATCAAATCCCAATTATACGCAGCTTTATGAATTAATCAAACACATGCATTTTTCCCCACGTTTTCTTCTGTCAAAAATACAAGTACAACTTATGACTTTTTCAATCGAATACGTTGCATATAAAATTTGACAACATCGGACGACACAAACAGACGACAGAAAGCAGACGGAAACGGGGAGCTATTTTTTCACACTCTAGTGGTTACGAAATTTTGAGAAAACATGACTCGCAAACTAAGAAAGGCAGAAAATTTAGATTTGGTGTAACTTTCACTTTGATTTTAGAGTATACAAATAAAAATAATTAAACAGAGAAAGCAATATTAGTAACATTAGAAGTTGTATTTCTTTCAAATGGTTGAGTCGGAGGTTGTGTATGAGTATGAGGAGACTGTCTGTCTTTAAACTTGTACAAATTATTGTAATTCAAATGATCTAAAACAAGAGAATGCGTGCTTGCTGGTGAATGTTAGATTTTGTTGTCAGCGTCTTTATAGATAAATATGATTATCATAATGACACTTGAATTTTAACTCCAAGACACTGGAACTAAATTTCTTAGTGGAACTTCTAACTGCGTTACTTCCATTAAAAAGCAGGAAAAACAATGTCTTACAAGTCAAAATTGTTAATTGAGATGAAACGTCCATTGTCAAAGCTTCTAGTAACTATGTTTTTGTTATTTCTTTTATAGATGCGAATTCTTCTTTGCTTGCTGCTTGTCATCCCGGCAGTACTAACAGCCGCCACCCATACCAATTGCATTATTGGTTGCAAATGCGACGAAGACGTCATAATTGCAAGAAAACTGAAAATCCGAGAATGCGACAGTCCGCTTATTCTCACTAAGTCCACGCTTACTAGTGTTTCCAAGAAGATTACCGTGATCAGTTATAGGAATGTTGTTATCAAACGTATCGAAGGTGACGCATTTACTGGCTTTAACGAACTTGAATCAGTAATTATCCAAGATGCAAATATCGAGTCCATTGACCCTCGAGCGTTTGATTTACCCGAGTTGGGCACAATCACATTTACAAAAACCACGTTCGGTGAAAGCCCGAATTTGAACTCGACGTATTTGGAGGAATTGATATTCAACGACTGCAAATTATCGCGAGTGCCAAACTTGGATAACCTACCAGGGTTAAGTTTTCTGAGTCTAACTAACAACTTGATCCACACCATTGATGAAAGTACCTTCAGCAAAGCCGAGAACTTGGAAGAAATCAATTTAGCTAACAACAGTATCTCTGAGTTGTCGCCGAATCTATTCATCAATAATCCCGACTTCAATGTTCTCAATCTAGATTACAACCCTTTGAAATCGTTCGATTTTAATTTCGAGTCAGACTTAGAATTCTTGTCTTTGAGACACTGTAAGTTAACGACGTTCGATCGTCGCACTTCAGAAAATCTCAGTTTGCTTAGCTCTCTAGACTTAAGCGGAAACGAGATTTCTATTTTGCCACTCGACGCTTTTGAACCCATGAAGGATCTAAATAACTTGGATCTATCAAACAACAAATTGGTGGAACTGGACGATAACATTTTTTATGAGAACAGCAAACTCAATAGAATCATCATGGATAACAACCCGTTCCACCGCTTGCCACATTTCGAAACCAAAGAAAAAACCTTCCAAACGTACACATTTTCATGTAAGAACTGCAGTCTGAGGTCCGTCAAAGGTGTATTTGATAACATGAGAGGTCTCGTTACGCTCGACCTATCCTACAATAAACTCAAAGATATCGACGGAGTGTTCACCGAGATGTCGGGCATCAAGGAAATATTTTTGTCCCATAACAAAATTTCCAGTATTGGGGTAAATTCCTTTAGAAAGAAATCGGAACTTGAAACTTTAGATTTATCCAATAATCCACTGTTGCCTCTAGATCCTGTATTCTTCACGTCGTTGCCACTACTGAAGAAACTAAATGTTAGCGGTTCTGGTTTGAAATCATTGTGGGCTAACCACAATGCAATTCTTCCTTCCATGGAACAATTGTTTGTTGATCAAAATCGCTTGCCCGGAATTACTGTAAGTGACATGAAAGTACTTCCGAACTTGAAGCTGATTGATGTACACGGAAATCCACTTCGATGTACTCAGGATTTGTACGACCTAATACGATATTTAACGGAGAAGTCTATTGTTCCCCAGGACCCAACTGTTCGAACGCACGAAGAAACAAAATACGACACCACAATAATCTTTAGTCCGAAACGAAACTGGAAGTCTATCCTCCCGACTGGCTGTCCGTTCGAAGATGATCTTATCGGCAACAAATTGATTAACAAGGATGAAGAGGATTATGACGACGATGATGATGATGACGAAGAAGAAGATATTGATGGTGATGACTACACAGCGTATGACAAAGTGGAAGAGGATGAAAACGAGAGTTTTGAAGAGTCAGTAACCACCGCCCGTGGTTTTAATTTGACGAAGATGTCTTATATTTTGTCAATTTCGTCCGTTTTTATTTTAACAGCTCTTCTAGTTCTGTTTGTCGCCGTGATGGTGACCCTTATGATTTTGAAGAGAAATAAATCTTTCAACATGCATAACGGCAACCTTCCAAGAGTGAAGATACCGTTATGGCATACAGTGCAAGGTCATAAGAAGCATAGTGGATCTGTGTATCGACCGCTAACTGAAGAATTCTCTGGATCGCGTACCCCTATTATAAATCGATACGAATTTAAACAAATTCCACAAGTTCATAATTCACAATCACAATAAGTTAGTGATGTATTAGTGTGAAACTGTGTATCTGATTAATTATATTATTTACTTTTGTTGTTAATTTTATTGCGCTTACTGTTTTAATTGTACGTAGGTCTTCTGAGTCGTTAGTTGTACTTAATCAACTTATGCCATAAAAATCACATATAACACTCTCAGTGATATGTAGATAATGATAATAAACTTCTAGAAATGGGTATATTTCTCTTATTGCAAAAACCCATAATAAACAGTGTAGAGGAATTAAGAGGACACGAATCATATAAGTATAGATTACGCAGGTATGTTCTGCATCGTGAATTTAAAACAGTTTGTGAAGCTAATAAATTAAAATACAACGTTAAACTATTTGTAGAGATAAAAGTTTGTTAGCCTTTTATCTGTCTGATAACTTAACTATTTTTTTAAATGGAGAACTACGTTGTTGCCTGAGTATTTATTGTTTATTTGATTATTACTCAACCACAGTTTCCTGTTAACAGAGTTACTTGCATTTAATTGGAATAGTTTCACTGCAAAGAACTTACTAATAACTTATCAAGAAGTAATAATAAGTTCCCGAGCTATGCATCAATTTATGAAAACCATGACTGCAGCCATAAATTTGTTAAGTCTTCTTCTTAATTAGAATATCATTTGATAAATTTAAATATCGTGTTATTTAAAACTGAAGGTCCCACAATATTTTAATACACGGAATCGCAACCAGCAGGTAACGATAAAGGCAGAGATATATTTTTATCTCTCTTTTATACATTAACTTTGACAACCATTATTGGGAATACACAACTTGAGGTGCAATGATACAATATAATAAAAATAATTGCTTAACTTGATAAATTTTGACAAAATTTATTTACAAATAAAAAAAAGTTCAAGATGATAAATAGCCTTCGAAAAAGCGAATACAAATCCATATTTAAAGCTAAATGTGAATGTAAATAATGCATGTGGTTATTGGATTATATACTGATTCCTGGTATCATCATTATATCGTCGACTCTTTTAGCGGCTGCCTATTTTTGTTTTTGTTTTTTTTGCTTATAAGTGTACCTACTTCTTGCCAACTTTTCTTAATTCAATTTTTGCATAATTAATTAACAGTTCATGATCAATTTGTATCTTGACTGTTTAATTTTCAAATCATTCTTACTGTTCACTGGAACAGGAGCCTATGGGACTATCCGGAAATTGGGATTTTTCCAGAAGGTAAAATTTTAGCCTGATCATAGGACTCTGAGATTCTTTCAAATTACTTCAAAAATTAGACACATGGAGTCCTCGAGATTTTTTCTTATTGCTTCTTGCAAAAACAAAACAAAACAAGTCCCCGAGATTCCTTGAAACTAATTCAAAACCAAAACAAAAGAAGTCCCACAAATACTTCCAAATTACTTCAAAAACCAGATAGAAGAGGTCCACGAGATTCTTTAAAACTAATTCAAAAGCAAAAAAAGTGGTCTCCGAAGTTTTTCAAACTACTTCAAAACAAAACATAAGGGGTCTTCGAGATTATTTCAAATTATTTCAGAAACAAGGCAAGGGAACCACAAAATTCTTTCAAACTACTTCAAAAACAAGACACAAGTTGTCCCCAAGATCCTTTCAAATTACTTCAAAGACAAGACATTACAAGTAGGGACGGAGTCGACCATCTGGAAATGAAGCAAAATTTCGGTCTTTCAGGCGCCGGTCCAAATTTTTTCCGCGTTGGTTCATCAGGTTTGATCCGACCCTGACTCCGAGATTCTTTCTAATTACTTTAAAAACAAGGAATCTCGGAAATTCTTTCAAACTACTGTGGTAACCCAAACTTCCCGCCTTAAAAATTTGACCTTGAAACAGTTTGAAAGGCCCGCGAAAAATTTAAAAATTCAAAGTTTGGCCTTGGCTATGATCGTCTAACAAATAAGAACCTACGTTGTGTGTTTTTTTTTGTTTTTGAAAAATGGCGGGAAGACGTTCTTTCATACAAGTGCATACACTGTCGAGAGCGCAAGAAATAATAGACAAAAATTGTTTTGGAGGGGGGGAAACGGCACCACCCTCACAGGGGGAAAGACGCTGCGAAGAATTGACCAGTAAAGTGAATGACGCGCGAAATTTGAACTCAGTTCATAACACGAGACCCGTATTTCAGTTCCCCGTGTAATCCTTATGGGTGAAATCGAGGCGTCACTTTAACGCTTAAATTGTACCATTAAAGTAATTTTCTTATATATCCCACTACCTGTACCATTAAGACTGATATTTTTACTGTTGATCTTGATACCAAACATGAACGGAACCGGTAGTATTTAATAAATATTTAAATTCAACTTTTACCACTACATTTGCCTCGAACGTATGTCGTACAGTGGTTCATACTGCCATTGACTTCCCCCTCCACATAAATGGCTTTGATTTTCAGGTGCTACAGATACGGCTGTGAATTTAAAATAATACATAAAGGAGATCTCATATTTGCAAATGTTTTCCATCAATTGCCAAATTTTGATTTAAGAATCATCATCAATCCCAAGCTTTTTACTTTTCACACATTTTTGCTAGAAAAGGAAAAACTTAGCATTCCTGATTAAACCTTTCATGTACAAGTAAAAATCACTCTCATTTTAGTACGAATTGGGTCTGAAACACCCATTAAAAAAAAAAATCACAATTTAAAGAACAATTTATTTCAAAACAAAAAAAAAGTATTTTACAATAAAAAATTGCACTTCCTAATGCAAAATCTGATTCACTTTTGGTGAAAAACTGACCCACAAACTGTTTTCTTGATGGGCCATTAAAATAGTCCTCGGACACTAATAGTTCTTCGACACTGTGAAGTAGATTTTCTTCAGATCTTTCTAGTTCAGGGCCCAATAGCAAAAGCAGTGCTTCGCTCCTATCAGTTTGTCCTAAGCTTTCATGAAGTTGTACCTCAACATTAGCTGTTTTTAGGCTGACTTGGGGATTAAAAGAATTTTCAGAGACAACAGCTCGGACCTCAGCTGATTCACTTTTCTTCAGATGTACGTCTCAAGCACGCAAATTATTGGTCCACAATACATTATAACGTCCGTGTAGGGCAGGTGTAGCCATATGATGATATACAAATGCACCTCTTGGGGTTTCACATGTTGCCTCTCTTAAGGAATATCTATGCATAATAAAACAAAATACGTCATAATTTTACTTGACACAGAATTTATCAATATACATTAACTTACCATAATCTTCTCGCATTCTAGCTCGAATAAACTCTTCAAGCACATTTAATTCAGTATACCAATTGACTTTCGCTACATTATTTGACTGTAAAGAATTTTCTCCAACAAAAAAAAATGGCAATTGCCCCTATTGTTAACACATGTCTTTCTGTCATTATTAATAACAAATACAAAAAAAACCAGTCCACAGATACATACAACCCAATGTGAATCAATATCACAGAACTAATATATCATCCAAAAATTGTGATTATGATTGTTTGTTGTGAAAATACGAAATCAACTGTCATATTTTGGGGATTTTCACGATCTAAACGTCACTAGTACCGCAAAATATTCGCGTTCTTTTTCTTTCCCAAGTGTTTCTGGATTTTCCGTTTCACTCATGCGCAAGACGTTAGAAACGATGTACGTTACTTCGATGGATAGCGTTGTTTTTAATTTGCAATATATCTTTAACAGAAGCTTTTTATATAGTTAAACCTTTAGCAACAGGAAGATAATTGTACAGTCTTTATCGCTTGTAGCATGAACTAGTTAAGATTTCTACCTATGCGGCGTATTTTGTCTGTAAAATCAAGCTCCCATAAGAAACCCATAGTAGAATTTTTGAATTATGAACTGCCGCGCATTCTAAATTCTAACCTTACTTTACTGGTCAATTACCCCTCAGCGCAAAAACCCCCTTTGGTTTTATTCCCGGACGACATATTATTACATTTCAAACACCTTAAGATATGTGAAAGAAACACACAAGCGAATTGACTGAAAGAAAAACACTCGCGAATTGACTGAAAGAAAAGCACTCGCGAATTGACCGACATACACACACGAAAAACGAACAAACGGAAATTCTGTACATCTGTTTGGAATCAATGCAAATATTTGAATATCACAAATTTAGTAAAACAAAGCAAAAGCTGAATCAAGTAACTGGATGCAAATACACAAGTTATTACAGGCGTGTGGCGGCCGATCTCCTTTTCCTTTTTTTTTTTGTTACGGCAGTTAACAGGAGCACAAGAAAAGTACCCCTGGAGCGTTGTAGCATAAGCGGAGTCTGAGCTACCGGTCTGGAACTGTTCTCCCCCCGCGACGGTGATTCTATCTATCGCAAAGCCTACCCCACACGCATATCCCATGACGAACTTTGCCCTGCGGAACTAGGCCATTACGGTCGTCCAACCCGCAAAGATCTCGACTATTGGGCCAAATCGAGAAATTCACAACGTCGGCGGCCGCCCCCTGAATCTATCCAAACCTGTGGACTTGTACAGGTGGCGCGATAAATCTCGCCAGCTCGACTAGGAACCAAACCTCGCTTCTGCCACGTTTTCTGTGTCATTTAACCTCAATTCCATTTTAAAACATTTATCAATCTCTTATAACTCTGATGTTAACAACAACTGAACAAGTGTTAAAGTTTCAAAGAGCAATAAACAACATTTAAATTCGCCATACAATCTTGTGAAATCTTAAACAACAAATAATTCTTATGTGGGATTAAAGTTGGACATCAAATAATTTATATGATAGAAAACATTCATCAACAAAGTATTTACAAAACAAAACTTAGCAAGGATTTATGAGACGAAAGATCTGGTGTGAAATAAACTTGTACAAATAGAAATGTTATGTGAGGTTAGAACTGTAGAACATGAAATTTACGTTCAATTAAATTTATACAACAAATAAAATTACTGAGGTTAAAATTGTGAGATTAAAGAAATATTGTATGATGTGAAAATTTGCAGAGTTAACAAAATTTACATGAGATTAATTTTTGCCACACTTTATCAACGGTTCAAACAAAGAGTTTACATTATGCCAAATTATATCATGATCTAAATGATTGGTTACTTCAAAAATAATTTACTTTGAGAAGTTAAAATACTACGAACTGGTTACCCCAACAAAACACATAATAAACAAATACAAAAATATCCAATCATCGCTCCGAGGGAAAAAGCGTCTCGGTGATGTAAATATCCAAAATCGTTGCGAGGAAAAAGCGTCTCGGTAATGTAAATTTTCTGTAGCGTTGGGGGCATGCCTTAATTAATTAATCAATCTGGCGTTGCGAAACATGCCCCGATGAATTAATCGTGATAACGATGATAACCACCTAAGGGGAGAAAATATCATAACCCCCCGCCAGTCCGCAGTATAATGAACTTGTTTAACTGCCGTAAATGAACTATTAGCAATCTTGTGTGAAGAATTTAGAAGTGTTATAATGTAACACTTACGTATATGCATCCAGAGACCTATTCGTAATTAAACACAAGGTGTTTTTCCTGACTAAGTGAATTTCATGAAATCTTCTAGAAAATGGTTAATTTAAATAATCCTGATTGTTAAATTGTGTTTGCACTAGCTGACTATTAAGAAAAACTAGCTTGATTGGTGAATTTACAAACAAAGAAACAGATTCACAACACGTGTTCGCGTCCGACCGGAAGTCTGCAATTTTCGATTAAAAGGGCGCAAGAATTTACCGCGCGGGTTGGGGACAACTGTATCATTATGAAAAATACGTTTGATCGTCGTTAAACAAAGGCTTCCTCCCGTTTTATTAACTACCAAACCAACTAATTTAAACCTAGCGCTTACCACGTGGTCACACACACACAGCCACATTCGTAATGAATCTACCATGCGGTTTTTCTACCAACCCTCTAACTGAAATTACCCTAGCGCTACGTGCTGCCACCTACTCAAAGATCATGCAAACTAACTCCTAAGCGCTACGTGCATTAGACCATCCATGCATATTTGGTTGCCTATGTTTAAGGATTTCCTTTTTGTGATTGAACTCTTTTTTTTTTCAAATTAAAATTATTCAAATGTGATTTCGCGCCGTTGTCAATTAATTCAGCGCGAAAAGTTTGATTTAAATTCGGTCACCACACTACCTACGTCAAAAACAAAACAAGGGACCCCCAAGATTCTTTCAAACTACTTCAAAAACAAAACAAAAGAGGTTCCCGAGATTCCTTCAAAACAAAAAAGGTCCCCGAGATTCTTTCAAATTAGGTACTTCAAAAACTAGACACAAGAGGCCCCCAAGATTCTTTCGAATTACTTCAAAAACAAAACAAAAGATGTCCCCGAGATTCTTGAAAACTACCAAATACTAGGGGTCTCCAAGATTCTTTCATACAACATACTCCAAAAATCAAGCAAAAGTGGTCCCTGAGATTCTTTCAAATTGCTTCAGAACCAAAGCAAAAAGGATCCTCGTGATTCTTTGAAGCTATTGCAAAAACCAGACGCAAGAGGTTCCCGAGATTCTTTCAAATTACTTCAGAAACAAGACGAGAGAACCACAAGATTCTTTCAAACTACTTCAAAAACAAGACACAAGTTGTCCCTGATATTATTTCAAATTGCTTTAAAAAGAATTCACAAAAAGATCCCGTAGATTCTTTCAAATTGCTTCAAAGACAAGACGTTACGGGCAGGGACAGATTCGGCCATCTGGAAATCAGGAATTTTCCAGCGGAGTCAGTAGCCGTAATACCACAGAGCACTGGTGAACGAATCCAAATTTTATATACTGCCGGTTCCAATTTTTCCCACGCTGGTTCAGCAGGTCCGATCTACCCCTGTTCATATGACTCTTCTAAATTACTTCAAAAACTAGACATATGAAGTGCTTGAGACTCTTTCTTTCTAATTATGTATTTAATAAACAAAACAAAAAGGTCTCCGAGAATTCTTTCAAACTACTTCAAAAACAAAACACAAGTGGTCCCTGAGATTCTTTCAAACTACTTCAAAAACAAAACAAAAGGGGTTCCCGAGATTTTTTGAAACTACTTCAAAAACCTGACATTAGGGGTCCCCGTGATTCTTTCAAATTACTTCAAAATCAAATCAAAAGGTCTCCTCGTGATTTCTAAATTGTCCCCTCGTTGGAACACCGACTAACGACTGGCGATGACAATTAGCTTCATATTAGGATTTGGACTCGATTTTTTGAAGGTTAATATGAAATATACATATGTTGTTATAGCATCCACGTAATTCGTTTGTAAGTGAAAAATTATCAGACACAAAAATGCGATAATAGTCCTTGTTGGGACTTCTTAGGCGATCTGGCTTTTTAACATGGTACAGTCCTCATATTTTAGAATATCTTCAGTCCCTTAAAATTATTAAAATAGTTTTTGCATACGCACTATATGTATTGCCTTATTCGGAACGGTCAATGTTACAAGTGTTACTGGCATCCCTGCCGTTTAGTGAGAATTAGTTAAGTTGGCAATGACCAACATTAATGTACTGTGTATTTTGGTACTTGTAGAATGTTACACATGTTTAGTTATTAAAGTTATACTTACAACAAGCCTCTTTCTTATAACAAATGAAACATGGTGTCAGTGTGGGATTAATAATAATGGATTATTAGGAAAACGATCAGCCACCTAAACAAATACAACAGATGGATGTATCGTAAGTACAAGTTCCCAAATTGAGGTTAGGATAACCACGTGCAAATTCAAATACTGCAAATTCACAAAAATCCAAGTCATCTGAAGAAAGTAACAATAAATACTAACATGGCACAAGAAATGGGAATGTTTCGAAGGCCCCCAGAGTTGGATTTTTCAACAAACGTATCGTTCAAATGGGATTTATGGAAACAACAATTTGAACTTTTTCTAATGGCAATTTCGAAAGAGGACGAGACAGAAAAAAGGAAAATAGCGATCTTTCTCAACGTAGTAGGGGAAGAAGGAGTAAAAATTTACAATTCCTATAAATTAGGTGAGCAAGCAGACTTAACTCTCGCAATTGTTTTAAATAAGTTCGGAGACCATTGCAAACCGAGAAGAAATGTGATCTACGAGAGGTACTGTTTCCTGAAAATAAGACAAAAGGAAGGGCAGAGCTTTGATGCCTACGTAACTGAATTAAAAAATGCAGCGATGAAATGTGAGTATGGAAACCAACAAGACTCCATAATTAGAAATCAAATCATATTCAACGTAAGAGAAACACGTCTACAGGAACAACTAATTAACGAAAAAGATATTACGTTAGAGAAAACACTAGAAAAGTGCAGAAATGCCGAAATAAGTAAATTCCAAATCAACGAGTTTTCCAAGGGAAATCAGTATCCTATGGCAAATGTGTCAGCGATCAACAAGAAAAAACAACCAATGAAGCAGATGAAAACTGGGAAACCAACTACGAAAATAATTAATAACTGTAGAAATTGTGGACAAGTCAGTCACCCAGTAAACCAATGTCCAGCGTTCAATCAAAAATGTAGGAAATGTAAGAAACCGAACCACTTCGCCAAAGTATGCAGAAGTAAAACCAACAGCAACTATAGCGTCCATGAGGTGGAGAATGAGGAGGTTAATATGAGTAGTTTGCAAATTCTAAATATTAATATTGATGGAATCACTGCGGAAGAAAACACTTGGTACGAAGAAGTGGAAATTCAAGGTCAAAAATTAAATTGCAAAATTGACACTGGTGCTCAAGTATCAGTACTTCCGTATAATGACTTCAAATCACTGAACATGAAGAAGAAATTGCAGCCTACAAATGTCACACTAGTAGCGTATGGAAATAAAAACTTCAAAATTACTCCAGTTGGACAAGTAACACTGAAACTGAAAGTTGGAAATCAAATAGCAGAAGTTAATTTCGTCGTCGTTAACCCTAGTTCTGGTGCTATTCTTGGGTTACAAGATTGTCTAAAATTGCAATTAATTTCCAGATCAACCAAAGTAAATGAGCCACAGAAGTACATTCACGAGTTAACAATGGAAATGGTTACTGAAAAATACAAATCAATCTTCAATGGCATTGGAAAAATTCCAGGAACACATCACATCACTGTAAGCTCAGAAGTCAAGCCAGTAATTAATCCACCAAGACTGGTCCCTTTAAGTCTACATACAAGATTGAAAACAACTTTGGAAAAATTCAGCAAAGAAGGAATCGTCAGCAAAGTCAGCAAACCAACGAAATGGGTGAATAATTTGGTAATCATCGAGAAACCAAATGGTGAACTACGCCTGTGCCTTGATCCAAAAGATCTGAACACTGCAATTCAGAGGGAAATATATCAAATTCAAACACCGGAAACCATCATTGCACAACTAAGCAACAAAGAATATTTTTCCGTCTTCGACATGTGTCAAGGGTTTTGGCAAATTGTTTTGGATGAAGAAAGCTCCGAGTTATGTACGTTCAATACACTTTTTGGTCGATATAAATTCAATCGTCTTCCATTTGGTCTAAAATCCAGTCCAGAGGTATTCCAAAAGAAAAATGAAGAAATGTTTGGAGATATCCCAGGAGTACACGTGTACTTTGATGACATTATAATCTCAGATGGAAAGCAGAACCAAATTAAAGAAGAAACAAAAAATGATCAAGATCTAAAACAAATTTTACATTTTTATGAACATGGTTGGCCTAATAATGTTAAACAATATTCAAAGGTAGTTAAACATTTTTGGAAAATTAAACATGACATTACAGTTAATAATGGTATTATATATTTTAATGAACGAATTGTAGTTCCTCAATCGTTACAAAGTTATATGTTAAAAATTTTACACGAAACCCATCTAGGTATAGAAAAAACCAAAGCTAGAGCTAGAGAAGTATTGTATTGGTTAGGCATGTGTAAAGACATATATGAATATATATCAGGCTGTGAAATGTGTGAGAAGTTTAGTAGAAATCCGCAAAAGGAACCTCTTATGTCGTATGAATGTCCAACGCGACCATGGTTTCGAATTTCAGCTGATATAGCTTATTATGCTGGTAATGAGTATCTTGTTGTGATTGACTCATATAGTAAATGGATTGAATTGAAAAAGTTGAAATATAAAGATTCTCATGAGTTAATCAAGCATTTTAAAGAAATTTTTTCACGACAAGGTATTCCTGAAGTCCTTATTGCAGATAATATGCCATTTAACAGCTTTAATTTCAGAAATTTCGCGAATCAGTGGAATTTTAAAGTCATTACTACTAGCCCAAATTATCCGCAATCTAACGGACTAGCTGAGAAAGGTGTAGGAATAGTAAACAATTTGTTTCGAAAAAATACTGATATAGACTTAGCACTGTTAGAGTATAGGACAACACCAATTGTAAATTTAGGATTTTCACCAAGTCAGTTACTAAATAATAGACGTTTAAGATCAAAATTACCTGTCAATAACAAACTATTAAATACTGAAAACATAAACCCGAAATATGTACATGATAAATTAAAATCTAGTCAGATAAACCAAAAAAAGTACTATAATAGAAGTGCAAAAACATTGTCTTCATTTGAACCGGGTCAAAATGTGTATGTAAAGAATCATAACAATTGGGAAAAGGGAAAAGTAGAAGATAAGTACGACACACTGCGGTCTTATATTGTAAAAACTGAGCAAGGTCAAGTGTTTAGGAGAAATAGACGTCACCTTCGTGAATCGAAAAAGGAGTTTGTTCCGCGTGGTAATGTTGTCGATCCAATTTCTGATTCTGAAAATGAGACATGTACCCCTAGTATGAATAATTCGACCCCTTTTAAAACTGTGTCATCCCCAACAAAAATTAATAATGATGTAAATGTATGTTCAGGTAAGGAACCTGTAAGTCGACCTCACAGAAATAGAAATATGCCATCCAAATACAAAGATTACGAAGTGTACGGTGTTCCTTCAACCTTCAAATAGTTTTGTAATCTTAGTGAGGGGGGTGTTACAAGTGTTACTGGCATCCCTGCCGTTTAGTGAGAATTAGTTAAGTTGGCAATGACCAACATTAATGTACTGTGTATTTTGGTACTTGTAGAATGTTACACATGTTTAGTTATTAAAGTTATACTTACAACAAGCCTCTTTCTTATAACAAATGAAACAGTCAATAAATTTCTTTCTTCTGAATACCCACCCAGCAATTGGGACAGATCGATTCGAATCTCGCTCCATCTGTAGCTGAGCCAGGAAAGGAGACATATTCATGACTCGGATAATCCAGTAGTCAGAATAACCCGTCTTGCTTTACACACTTCCTTAAGCTATATTTCACTCTTCTTTCATACCGGTTGTTTGTCATAGCTTTGCTTTTGCTCACATTCTTTAATTCTCAGAATTTGCCATGTTTGTTTAATTTGTTAGTACTAAGTAGTTCAGGAAATTCTAAATGACACAGAGATACCGAGATTACTTTCATTTATAACTGTAGTAACTTTTTTTTACAGAAAGTGTTTTATGTTGTTGCGTTATAATTTCCCACGTGTTTCAAACACCGTAAGAAAAAAATAGCACAATAGGGAACTTCAAAGTTGCAGAAATCTAATCGTAGAAATAGTTGAAAAGGGAACTTTTTTATTCTATTCTCCAGTCTCGTATAGAGCAAAGACTTGTTTGTGAGCCAGGGTACAAAAATTTGTACTTGGTATAAAATAAGAGTAGGATTTCAAAATCGAGTCTAACTTGCCTCAGGGGACTGCGTATTTCGCTTTTTTTCGGCTTTCTTTGCTAATTTCTAGATGACAGTTGGTTTAGACCCAAGAAAATTAGGAGCGCTCTAGGATAATTACTTTTACGTGCACTCCAAATCTCTGGCTCTAATCTTAATCTATTTAATCTTTTATCACAGCATTTAGGTCAAGATGATTGTAAATCAAACTGTTGTAAACGCTGCGGCACTTTATTAAGTCTATACTACTAATACTAAAATAGTCGAGCAGACACAAATTATGAGGCGCTTAATTAACGTGTGAAAAATAAACTTACCATTCCTGTTGGTTAGAAGAACGTGTCTTAAAGTCGAACATACTTAGTTTCAGTAACATTTTGACACAAATGCAAACAGTCTTAGTGAAATTAATAAATATAGGAGTGATTATTTTAAAAAAGTCACAAAATTTTGTCCATTAGATATTTCTAATCGGAGTCTAGAAATTAGAAATGGGTTTCAAAAATTTTGGCATAAAAACAAAAATTAACTTTGACCACAAGACGCAATAATTATGTCGAAAATAATCACAATTAAAGCTAAACAGCATTTTATACGAGCTCTCACGTTCAGATGTTCATTTGTTCAATTTTTTTCAGAAAAATGTCAACTGACCAAAAAATTGCATTGTTGATCAACTATATGTATGCTGTCTAAGCCAAAATATTCCATTGTTAACGCTTTAGCAGTCGCTGAAACTTGAATAAATGAAGGTAGGAAATTTCACCTCTAATTACTTCATAATGAGGGCATTTTTCATAAAAATCCTTCCTGTCCATTCAACATTTCATATAACGCTGCGTCTAGCCTTCCGGTATCGACAAGTTCTGACGTCATCTGCAATGTATTTCGAAAGAACAGCCCCAGGGAGTTGCCGGAGTTACGCTGCACGTTTATGTAAGACCAAATACACTGTAGGGATACGAAATCTTGACAAACTGGGAGCCAATTACATAACCTGCAATCCTATAATCCAGAGCCACTCTTACGTGTTCGGTAATAACATAACCACCAGAAATGTGTAAAACCTATTTTTTTTTCAAGTTCATTGTGAGAATGCGGCGCCTTATTATTATTCCATTAGTCAGCAAATAATGTAAAGTGGTTTGTTTATAATTTCATGATAGCGAAATGGTCGGAGTTTTATTTATACACGGGACTTACCCAGGCCCTGTCACTGGGATCCACAGTTTTATGTCTCCTTGAAAGAACCGTAGATTGGCTACTTTTTTCATGACCGGAGCGAAGCTTGAACCCAGGTCAACGCAACGTCGATCGCTAAAACCATACTCGAGGCAGAGAAATATGCCACGAATCGTCCTCATTGGTTTTTTGGAGATTCTAAGGGACGTCTAAATTTTGAAAGTAAACTACAATCTTGTAAATTAAAAAAAAAAATAAATTATGCAAAAATATTCACGATTCCGATTAACGCTTATCAGTATTTGCTAAAGTGTTAGTATTACTGTTTATATTTTCCTTTAATCTGTGCAGCTTCGTAATCCAGGAAAACTCATTTTCTTGAACATGTAGTGTAGGTTGAACGTTTTAAAATTTTATTTGGTTTCCAAGGCAATTCCTTTTGTAACAAAAGTGATTTCTTTTGTAGTATAAATTTAATGAAAATGTCACTTTCTTGCTCCTCTTTAATATATCTCGGTTTTACATCTTGGTTCATTACGTAAGTAGTGTCTTTTTTCGTTTCTTTGGTTGTCTCGTTTCCTGGAATGCATGCAGTCATAAATAAAAAGCCGGGGTATTAAACAAGAAACGCAAATAGCTTACTTACCCATTAAAATAAAGAGCTCATTAAGCCTAATTTATTATTTATCAGTAAACGTTTTATCTTTGATCTATTGTTCATGTTGTGCTTTCGAAGCTTTTAAATAAAGTTCAAAGAAAATTCTTCAAAAGCGAAATCTATGATCAAGTTATCATTTTTGCATGAGAGGGAGGTCAAATAAATAGTCTTTTCATGACACAACGAATCATCCCGATCGCATCGTGCAAAATATATACAGGGCGAGTTACTAAACACACTCTCCTCGATATCTCTCTAAATCTCACTGATTATTAGAAAAAGGAAAAAAGTCGAAGACTAAAGTTGTACAGTTCTCTAAGAAGCACACACTAAAATTATTTTCAACTATACCGAGTGTTCTACACAGTTGAAATAAACACCCTGTATACAAACCGTTTACTAATGCGGCAAAAATACAGGGAGTTATTCTTTCGTATATACGGGTCGACAAAAGTAATATGAATTAATAAAGTAGGTATTATTTTGTCCGAAAATCATCCAAGGACAAAAAAATGTTAAAATAATCCAAGCAATAATTCCATGAATTTTTGCCACATGGTTGGGAAATACCCTGTATATTTACATGCTCTGAGTGACCTCCCAGGTTATTCCAATTTTCTTCATTCGCTTTTTGGTGGTATAAATACGTAAAATATGGTCTTAATATACAGAGTGCTTATAAAAAGTCCCTACAATTTTTAAATATCGATGTTTCAGTTTTTTAGCACATTATGTTTTTACTATTGCATCTTATTCTGTTTTTTGTTCCCTTTGTTTTTTGTTAACAACAAATGGAGCAAGTAGATGCAGTAATAAAATATAGGTCTTTGATTTGAAAGACTGAAACATCGATATTTGAAAATTGCGAGGTTTAATATATTTTTTATAAACAGTCTGTATATTAAAATCTGATTTAATTGATACCACTACAAAGCACGCTTATATCTCCATAAAATATCGCACCATAAATCTTAAAAATGATATAATTAGGATTTTTTGTTGTAAACCTTTGCATTGCTGAAAAAATCAATTAAATTGGAACAACGTGACATCACACTACAATTTCAAAAATAAGCGAATGAATGAGTTATCGAGGTGTGCTAAATCAAACAAAAACTTTTGCGAAATATGGTACTAATAAATTCTTAGTGTTCGAAAAAGAAAAATTTGTCTGAAGTTGTTTAGCAGAATTTTTCACGCCTCTGAAGCACAGTCAATAAAACAAGTTAATTTTTTTAGCTAAATTATAAAATTTGATTTCGAAAACTGTATTCTTGTCTTGCAATAACCCCATTTAGTTTTTAAAAAAAGGGGGTTATGTTATCAACGTTTTAGTAGCGACAGTTATTACCATTTTGAGTAGGTATAGGTGATTCCTACTAATTAGAACAGTACTATGATAATAGTAGAATTTTAGCAGAATGAGATAAGCTGTTTTTGATAATCAATAAAATATACTCAGTGACATGGAAATCAGAACACCCACTAATAAAATTTGAAGTGACTCAAAAACATAACGTTGTGCTGATGTCGGACCAAAATTTTTGAAAAATTCAGTTTGAAATGAAATTTCTTGAAAATTGTCATTTTTCATTTTATCAGTTCTGGAAAAATTATTGGAATTTTTGATGAAATAAAGCCTAAAGTTGTAATCTACAAGAACCAGGTGAAACCTATAAGAAAATGCCTTTGAGTAATTTCCGATTCGTGCTCGGAAAGCGCTGAAAAAATTCCACAGTGGAGGAGGGTATTGACAATTTGAGATTTTTGAAAAGTTGCTTAAAAATATTCAAAAAATTTTTGGGATATAAGTGTCGACAGCTTATTTGAAAAACAGAAAGTATTAATGCTCCCGGACTAAAATTTTCGAAAAATTTGGTTTGATAATGCATTTTTTTTGCCTCGAAAGTTGACAATTTTTCATTTGATTAATTCTGGTATAATTGCTGGAATTTTCGAAGAAATGGAAGCGAAAATAACTTCTACAAATCTAAATTCATAAAAAATGCCCTTGGCTAATTTTCGAAGTGTTCGAAGGACAAAAAATGTTGTTTTTTTATTTATTTTTTCGGTAGTGTCGGAGATTATCTTAATTATCGTAACAGGTACTAGCCCCGCCCACCCACCCTTTATTTTTGTAGAGTATGTCATTTGCTAAAATCAGTCTTATCTTGGCAAGCAAGTAGTACTGCGCATATGGCAGAAAAACTGATCGTTTACTTTTCTTACACTAATACACATGTATACAAAAAATTATTAAAATGTTCTTACTACTACTGGGTGTTCTGATTTCCATGTCACTTAGTATAAATTACTTCATTCTAAAATTTTTTGAAAGACTCTCTGTATACAATTCTAAAAAATATGAATGTAAAGTAGAGTCCATCAAAGAGTGAACCTTGACTTTACATAGTTTACAGCCCTGATCTTCTCTCCGATTGCTCACCTGAAAGGAACAAAGTTCTATGAACCAAATGTTTAGATGAAGACATTTTAAGTTATAATGGGCAACTCAAAAGCAAGCAGGCGTGGTAAATGATCACCATTGCAGTCCAGAGCAGTTTATTGGGGACTTCCTGTAAACACTTTTGGAAACAGAAAATCAGTGTTCACTATTTGGGGGCCTCTACTTTCCGAAGAAATAAAGAGGGTAAAGAAGCATATTATTTTTCATATTTGATTTAGGATGTATTTGGCGAAATTTTGAGACGACGTTATCACGTTTTTCTTGAGATTTAATAGACGAATTTTGGTTAGTTTTTCCTTGTGCAATATACATAAAATATTTTTAAAATTTCAAAACAGTCTGTTCGGTAGTTTGGGAGATGGGTTATAAAATCGTTAACAAACACAGACAGATGGATAGACGGAAACGGGGAACTACCTTCTCATAATTTACAAGCTATGAAACATTTAAAATTAACATAAATTAAAATATTTCTCTACCTTACGCAGAGAAACTAAAAATGTGCATATGTAAACTGCGGTGCAACTAATCTATTAATTGTCTCTAATCCATGTTGTAAATTTTTGTATTATATAAATTATCAACCCTTAGTAGAGTCACTTGTAATGACTGGGACTACTATACCTTATTATGAATGCTCAAAAAATCGTTAGATAAACACATTTTTAAATTTCTGGATAAAATACTTACAAATAAAATTACTCCACACGTTACATAGTACTTAACACATCGAGGTCAGTAACTTGGTACCTGCATACTGCATACCGCTGCAGTTTACATAGACCTTTTCTCGGTCCACAATACATCTTGTGTTATTAAAAAGTTCAATTACTGGGTAAACCCCCCCCCCTGTTATTCAATAATAAATAACACTGGTCAACAAAATTCAATTTTTTCTCTCTAACTTTGACATAATTGTAATGTTTTCGTTTAATTTGTCTCTGTGTTTGTAACAAAGGGCATAAACCTTACAACTTAGCTCAATTAAAAATAAAAATGCATGTTTGATGTTAAAAACAAAAAAGCAGGTAAAACAATTTAATTTTTGTATCTTTAACGGCAAAAAGTGATGTATTAATAAAAGAACAACCATAATTAAGAAAAAAACAACGATTGTAGTTTAAAAAACGAAAAAAACAAAAGAAACAGCTAAGACCGACGTTTTTTCGGTTGCCTCCTATAGATTTGATTGGAGCTCTCTCGCTTGATGGTCCCGCAGTATTCTGCGAGCATTTAGGTGTTCCATCGATCTTGGTAACGTTTTTGTATCCACAAAATGCCCAGATGGAAGCGTTCTCTATGTCCGTCACTCACGTCGTCATAATTTTTGGGGAAAAAATCAAGATGCGAATACATAAAATGCACTTTTAAGAATATGTTAATTTAAAATTTTTTATATGATGATAACATGTTTTTTATTTACTAAACGTAGTTTTATTATTGTTTCCCAAGAAGTTTGTAGCAATTTGATCACAAAAAAATACACCTTATAGAAAGTTTCCTATTACTTAATAGTACGATTTTTGTATTTTTCAAAGGATAATATTGAAGATTACTTTTAAATGAGAGCTAAGTTTGGGTTTAGCCGTTTATAATATCATTTAAAATTGTTAATTAAATAATAATTAGCTGCTATAATAAAAGTTAGAGCTTAGCTGTTGACCAGTGTAATTAAAACAAAAAGCAGATGACGGGGAAATTTAGAATAAAATTGTGCTCACGTCACGGGCCTCTCCCATTCGGTACGAACCCCACCCACTTTTCTCTAATGACTTAAGTATTCACGATTTATTACGTGCTAGGTGCGTCAGACGAAGACGTCTGATGGGCACGTGACGTCATGTTGACGAAAATTTTAAAACCATAATTATATTTTATCATTTTTTTGGCATTGTGAATTTAACGAAAACGTCTCTTTCTTGCCCCTTTTTAATAATAATTTCGCTTTATAACTTGATTTGTTATTAAGTGGTGTCTTTTTTTGATTATTTACCCATTAAAATAAAAAGCTCATTAGCCTTAGTTTAGCATTTATCAATAACCGTTTTACCTTTTATCTCCTGTCCATAAAACTAGTTTGTATGCATCTGTGCTTTCGGAGCTTTTTAAATAAAGTTCAAAGAAAATTCTTCAAAAGCCAAGTCTGTGATCAGGCTATTATTTTTCCATGACAGTGAGGTCAAAGAAATAACCTTTTTTCATTACACAAAGAATCATGTAGAATTCAAAGCCAACACTGCTTAGTCCATCCCATCGTGCAAAACATATCCATAAAAATAAACAAGAAGTGACGTCACTATTCCGGTTCAGTGATTTAAATAATAATAATTGCATGCTTTGAAAACCAATTGTGATTTATTAATCTGTCTGTACAGGTATGTCTGTTACACTTGCGTGTACGTATTCCCACAGCCATTTGCCTAATTGAAGGGAATTAATTACGCGGAGGGATGATGGCCATAAGGTAAACATTTTTTATGACCCTCCATTAATACTTATTGCAGCGAAATTGATAAAATTTCAGTAAAGCGGTCCAAAACGCTCCATTTCGGAAAGGAGAATTCAATCGATCCGGCGCTTGATGACGTCTTCGAGTGGTGGGGAGCGCCAGTGACGTCATGTCGTCTTCATACTAGTACAACTAAATGTCGAACAGATAGGGAGACGTCAATACCGCACTTTTCAAATCAGTGTATTTAGTTTAATGTGAGATTTTTTTTGTATGAGTTGGGATAACAAAATCAAAGGAAATGTTACAAAGTGCTCGGATCGTCTGCACTGCGGTGATACTGGGTATTATTCTAGTTGAATGTAAGTACGTGCGTAACAGCAACATTTAAATTAGTTGTCTATTAATATTATCGTTTTTTTTATCACTGGGTGTATTAAAATTGATTATGTAAGTCGGTGCTCACCGGTAGCACTTCCGTGCTTGACGCAACAAAATCGATTTAACCTAAAACTAATTCTGTTTTTATTATTGGAAATGGTCGATATTAAGGTAAGAATAATGAGGATTGATGACGGGACGAGGTGGAAAAGCGCTAGACCATTGGCTACTACCTTAAATTCCAAAATATTGAAGCTTAAAATAGAAGATCCCCTTCTTTCTTGACCTCCATAAGTCTCAAACAGGGTCTACATTTTCGTATTGACTTAGAAACTTGTTTTATCCTCACGGGAACCTTTTTCACTTGAACATTAAATTTAGAACATCAATCAAAGTGTGCCAACGACTGAAAAATTAAAAAAAAAAACTCATTGAGGTCAACTGGTTGTTACGTATTTATGATAACCCCCAGATTCGTCTTCATTAGATATAGATTCCTTACATGCTATCGATTCGCGTAAAAACCACCTTACTTATTCTTCCACACTATTTTCATAATTAGATTATGTTCCTAAATCGCGGCCTCGACGACAGCCAAAGGCACTTAAAATAATGGTATTAAAGCCGCAGACAATCAATAAGTATTAAAAGGTAATCAACCTAAGAAACTGTTAACAAACTACTCATAAAATAGAGCCCCTTCGATCAGAATGAAACTTCGCGTGCTCATCTGCTGTTCGTTTGCGACCTTAAAACTGATCTACCATGTCAGGTCCGACAATTAAATACAGCCTTGGTGAGTACCCATTGCGACACTGAACTCGTTAGGATATCGATGTTATGGTCAACTTTTTCATATGAATGCCTTCATACTTCTAAATTCGTGGCAGCATTTTAATTGGGATGAGTCAAATTAGGGCGCTTCAATCGATGAAAAATGACGAAACTAAGTAGAGCAGGAGGACATCTTTATATCTGGCAGGGTTCAACACCCTGTCCGGACTTTGTGGCGACGTTTTGGCGTCATATTAATCCCTAGTACGGAGGATGTTGATCATTGGATTTTCCAGAAGCTCCCATTCTCGCCGATGTGAATAAAGAGCACGTGCTGAGGCTTAGTGATGCATCTGATAAAAGTTACAAAAAAAATTAGTTTGATTTTTTGTATTAAAAAAAAAGAAAACTAAGTCGACTTTAGGGAGTGTCCTCAATGAAAGTACACCAAAAATGTTTTTTTATTGTCCTGGAAACAACAAAATCCAACAGTCCTACTCCGTTTGAACAATGACAGTTTGTTCCTTTCGTTAAGAATGGACCACAAAAATGATAATTTTTCTAAGTTTTGAAATGAAAAATAAAGGGGGTTTAGAGTCACCACAGGAAAGATTGTGAATAATGTGAAGGATATCCAGACGGAAGCAGACAATTTGTACAGTGTGTGATATCTCCGGTATGGCCAAGGACTGCTAAAACAGGTTAAGACAATATCACATTTCTTGAAAGAATACGGCCTCTATTTGCATTTATTAATATTTAGGAAATATATTTCTTTAATTGTCCAAACGACCTTTAAATGAATTACGTACGAATTTTGCGAATATTTTTGTTATATACGTACGTAATTGCAAACACGAAAAGTCTAATTTTTGTGTTTTAGGCAATGCGAGACATGGAATGGATCAGTTTGTGAAAGATAAATCCATCGAATGTTATGAATGTAATTCGGAATATGATCCTAGATGTGCCGATCCATTTGATCCTTATACTATAGGAAAAGTGAACTGTTCGATGAAAAGACCTTTAAATCATATTAAAGAGAAACCAACGCTTTGTAGAAAGACTATTCAAAAAGGTAAGTAGCGAGGTATTGATTTATTGTTTAGCTGGTAAATGTAAAATGAGCGCAGTTAAGAACCCTTCCTCGAGTTAATTTTGGTGGTTATTTTATCACTTGCAAGGTGTACAAATGCACACAAAAACTCAGTCAGTTTATTGATAATTTACTAATGGACCGAACTTTTCACGCCTCTGAAGCACATTCAATTAAACAATTCCAGTTTTCAAATAAACTATAAAATTTGATTCTGAAGAAGTTTATTTTTTTGTTATGGTAACCCTTATAAGTAAAAAAAAATGTGATCAAGTTATCAACTTTTTACTAGAAAGAAATATATCAATTTAGATAGGAAGAAAGAAATGACATATGTATGCCATTTTCAATTCAATCAATAAAATAAACGGAGTGACTATTCGTACACACAGTATGTACGAATAGTACAAGAGCTATTCATACACACTGTGTGTACGAATAACTACAGCGCTAATCATACATACAGTGTGTATGAATAGTACGCACGCTGTTCATGCTCACATACAGGTACGTCCACATACAATTGATACCAACACCTGTTCACACCATTTGTTTACTCTCTTTACTGTGAATATTCTGTAGTTTGATTACGTTGAATATTTTAATGATCATCGTCAAATGAATAGAAATTTTGTATATTGGTATCACTCAGTAATTAGGCGTACTAACACAAATCAAACAATTGTTTTAAAGATGTAAGGATAACCTCAAAGCTTTTGGCGCTACAACTTCAACTTACCTTCAAACTCCAGTTCAAATTTAATGATTTTAATGAGTGTTGCACATCTGTTCTAAAACAATATGGTATAGTTATGCTCTTACAAATCTGTGGCCACAAGCCACAAGTCGCAAAATAGATCTACAAGTGACAACGAAGAAAAAGCTGTATTACGTCAAATACAAGCAAAATCGTAACCCTGACAGGCATTAGAAATAAATCCAAAAGACTAAGTGGTAGGTACTTCTATGTATTAACATAAAAAACAAAACACAACAAAACAGTGCTAACAGACTTAACTTTTATTTTTTGTACAAAATATTTTTTTCAAAAAAAAACTTTTAAACAAAATAATGGAACTATTTTTAAGAAGATTATAAGAACTAAAAAAAGATTGTTTAATTAATAGAACATCTCCAAGTGTTCAGTATCATACTAAAGATTCTCGCTTTGACTGTAAACAGTACAAAACCTTTCGGTTTTCGCCTGATATTGACACATTTCTTATGACATCGAGACAGGTATGCCGCACAAAAAATATTTAGTACTGATCCCATCCGACATCTTGTTGCAAATTCTGCAGTGCAAGTTCTTGATTTTTTTATCTAAAAACGGAGTAGAGCGGAATAATCGGGTGCTGAAAAATCTTTTTGGACTAAAGATTCGAGTACATGCACTTCATTTAAAAAAAATTCTGATTTGATTAATTTTGGCCCAGTAGGTGAATGGGAAGTACTTAGTATATTTACTAGTGGATTCGTAAAATAAATCAATCCCTTCAAATATCAACTTCTTTTTTTCATAATTTGATTTTAAACTATATTTTTTGGAACCCCAAAAGTTTTGTTTTTTTCTTTTTACTCCTACAGCCGTTAACAAGTGACCTTTAGGGCGCCCACAACGAACCATTTTTGGAGGAAGTTTTGTTGCTTTTAATTCAAACAAAAGTTCTTCATTTAGGTTGGTTTTGGAGGATGGAACAATATTTATTTCTTTTTGCCAGAGAAGACTCGTTCATTTTTTGTAAAGAGGAACTAGATAAAATATCACATTTTTCACTTTGATTCTACGAGATGGTATTACTAGTAGATTTCTGTGCATAGATTTCATTGTTAGCAAATATTTTTGCATTCGTTAATTGAACAGCATTCCCTTGATTTTGGAACATTAGTTTTTCTATTCTTTCCTCATTTGTGTTTGTTGCAGTTTCTTGGTTTTCATTATCCTGATTATTTACATTGTGTACCACTGCATTTTTCATATTGGCATTTTCTGTTACTCCTAGTTTTTTGCTGTTATTGTTTATTTCTTCCAATGAATTACTTTGATTTTCAATCAAGTCTTCATGGTAAATAATCTGTTCTTTCACATTTTTTTCACTATGTGAATAACCATTTACCTCTGTGAAATTCATTTCAATTTCTTCAATATCTGCATTAAGCATTTCGTTTTGTTAGTGACTGCATTTTCAGATGAACTTGCCACTTCACATATAAGTACCTCTTTATTCATTTCGTAATAATTAAGAAGCAATTTGGCCTCTTCCATTTTTTGCTTATATTTTTCAGTCCCAAACTCGGATATAACAACGGCAAGTCTAGAACATAATTTTGCTGCTTCATATTTTTTTTTAGCACTAACAGCTGTAGGTGTTGGACATGCAAAATCCAATATTGTCACTTGTTGGCATGCATCATTTGCATACAGATTTTCAATATTGCTAGACGCTCTGTGATGACTTAAATAAACATTCTTCTTCCAACGATTAAGCATCAAATTTTCGTCATACGGATTCAAACCCAATTTTTCTCTTAAAGCCAAAATGTGGCAACATGGCAATAGCATTTAGTTAGAAAAACTGCAGTCACATTTGTCCATTTTTACTTTTATTTTGGGATTTGCATTTTTTTTAATATATATTCTTCGTGTTCGTTTAGTTCTAGATTTTCCTTAATTTTGTATCTTACCATAAAAGAAAATTGTTGCAGTAAATGTTTCCAAGCAAAAGGAGTAATTAAGCTATGATATTTCGTGAACTTTCTTTCTCTTTCAATTGGCAATGAAGATAACACCTTCTTGAAATCAGTGAAAAACTGCTCCAAAGAAGACATTGTTTCCAAATGTTAGGCAATGACGACGATATGCACAGACTCACTGCTCCTTTATGTCGTGTCAATTTCTTTCATAGTATGCCGTAATGTTGGGAAAATTGAAACTTATTAAATTCTAGTTCTATATACTCTTCGTCACTATGGCTGTATGTTATTCTCTGTATCAAATTCAGGCACTGTTCTCTATGAGCAGACGAAATCTTCATTTTATCCATAGTAATTTCCCTTCGAAACGTCTTTAGGGTCCTTCATGTCCTTTTCAGTGAAAGTAGTTTTTGTTGGCTCCCATTTGCATTTTCTTTTTTGAATAATTGTGTCACTTCGCCTAAAGTAATTTTGTCCTCATCCACCAACAAAAAAGAACACATAATGTCCAATTCCATCAACAGTAAGTACAACGGCATTCTCAGGTTATTGAGTTTGTAGGTGGCATCGCACATTAATATTTCCCGAAAGTACTTGAACATTTGTTTCATTGTCTTACTTTGATAGTAAATTGCTCTTAGAAGTCTTAGAATGAAAAAAAAAAACTACGGAGTTTTTGTCGCTATTTCGGAAAATTTTTACTGAGTTTCCTTCTTGAATAGGTTTCGGGAACTTTGAGTTTGTTTGTGTTTAATGGTGCTTTAGCAATTCACTTTATATTTCTAATGTCTCTCAGGGTTAGGATTTTGTTTGTTTTTGATTTAATATAGTTTTGTGCGTCTTTTGAATTGGCGTTCATTTGCATAACATGCACCATTTCTTCTTTGTCGCTTGGACCCAGTTTGCGATTTCTATCCATAAATTCGTAAGAGGATTCTTCTAGTCTGTGATTATGCTGATTGTTAATTTCTGTAATGCATAACTGATGATTATTATCGTTAATACTTATTTTTATCCTAGCTGGATCTTGCAACGTTTTGTGTCTTCTTTGGCCGCTTGATCTACTCTTAAAATTTTTCCCTCCTTTGGCGCATGCACAACCAATTTTATAATATAGCACCTCATTACTACAGTTAGCGGCCTTTTTCTTCCTTACTTCGGAAATTGTTGTACTACTTCTTTTGTAAAAATATATATAATTCATGTCTTCGTAATTTTTTAAAGTTAGCGCCCGCTCTTCGTAAGTTTCGAAAGTATTTCCGGCTGTTAACATATTGTAACTTTATTATCTTGTTATGGAAAAGATATGCTGTACTTGTAAAAATTATTAAACTTGATCTGGAATGTCTAGAGTTTGAAGGTACGTTGGGAACATTTGTGGCGGCAAAAGTTTGAAGTTATACTTATATCTGCAAAGCTATGATTGGAATTGTGTTAGTACGCGTTATTACTGAATAGTACTGATATACATACACATACCTTTTATCTATATGATGATGGTCACTAAATATTTAACGAAATCAAACTGAAAAATAGGCACAGTCAGAATCGTTTGTGTGTGGGTGTACAATTGTGTGTACGAATAGCGCTGTAGTTATTCATACACACAGTGCGTATGAATAGCTCTTGTACTATTCGTACAAACTGTGTGTACGAATAGTCACTCCGTAAAATAAATTGCTCTCATTTTTTAATTTTGAGATACAGTCTATAATCATTATTAAATTTTTGGAACGAAAAATAAATTATAATTAACGATTTAACGATAAAGTTTGTAAGAAATATTGGAGCAATTCGACGTTACCACATTTTTCGTGATAATGAATTGACAAATTTTTATGACCATTTTATCATATACATGACATTCTTAAAATTTATCTAAATCTCACAACAATCTGGAACCTTCGGAGATTATTTGCTTGATAAAGTCGCCAATACACGACAGAAAGAAACACGGAAATGGGAGACCTAATTTCTTATTATTTAGGAGCTATAAATCGTCAGAAAAACACGAAATTATCCATTTGTCAAATGCACTCTATCATAATAATTTCATAGTCTGAAAATAGACTTCACCTTAAATATAAGAAAAAAAAATTATCTAAGGTTATCTAAATAGAAATTACCTCGCCTAAGTACAGTCCAGCAATAAAATTCAATGTTGCGAAATTTTATTTATTTAATCATAATTATAACCAACTGTGTGGACTATTAAAGTACAGGTAAAGGAGGATGCTGTGCGTGTGTTTCAAGTGAGTATTTCATTAACAAAATTTTGTGACGACATT